GAACACATTAAAGAGAACTGGAGACTATTACACACTGCACTGGATACTATTACACACTACACTGGAGACTATTACACACTACACTGGAGACTATTACACACTACACTGGAGACTATTACACACTGCACTGGATACTATTACACACTACACTGGAGACTATTACACACTACACTGGAGACTATTACACACTACACTGGAGACTATTACACACTACACTGGAGACTATTACACACTACACTGGAGACTATTACACACTACACTGGAGACTATCACACACTACACTGGAGACTATTACACACTACACTGGAGACTACTACACACTACACTAGAGACTATTACACACTACACTGGAGACTATTACACAATACACTGGAGACTATTACACACTACACTGGAGACTATTACACACTGCACTGGAGACTATTACACACTACACTGGAGACTATTAAACACTACACTGGAGACTATTACACACCACACTGGAGACTATTACACAATACACTGGAGACCATTACACACTACACTGGAGACTATTACACACTACACTGGAGACTATTACACACTACACTGGAGACTATTACACACCACACTGGAGACTATTACACACTACATTGGAGACTATTAAACACTACACTGGAGACTATTAAACACTACACTGGAGACTATTACACACTACACTTGAGACTATTACACACTGCACTGGAGACTATTACACACTACACTGGAGACTATTACACACTACACTGGAGACTATTACACACTACACTGGATACTATTCCACACTACACTGGAGACTACTACACAGGATACTATTAAATACTACACTGGAGACTATTACACACTACACTGGATACTATTACACTGGATACTATTAAACACAACACAGGAGACTATTAAACACTACACTGGAGACTATTACACACTGCACTGGAGACTACTACACAGGATACTATTAAACACTACACTGGAGACTACTACACAGGAGACTATTAAACCCTACACTGGAGACTATTACACACTGCACTGGATACTATTACACTGGAGACTATTAAACACTACACAGGAGACTATTACACACTACACTGGAGACTATTACACACTGCACTGGAGACTACTACACAGGAGACTATTAAACACTACACTGGAGACTATTTCACACTACACTGGATACTATTACACACTACACTGGAGACTATTACACACTGCACTGGAGACTATTACCCACTACACTGGAGACTATTACCCACTACACTGGAGACTATTACACACTACACTGGAGACTATTACACACTACACTGGAGACTATTACCCACTACACTGGAGACTATTACACACTACACTGGAGACTATTACACACTACACTGGAGACTATCACACACTACACTGGAGACTATTACATACTAAACTGGAGACTATTACACACTACACTGGAGACTATTAAACACTACACTGGAGACTATTATAATAATATAATAATAATATGCCATTTAGCAGACGCTTTTATCCAAAGCGACTTACAGTCATGCGTGCATACATTTTTGTGTATTGGTGGTACCGGGGATCGAACCCACTACCTTGGTGTTACAAGCGCCGTGCTCTACCAGCTGAGCTACAGAGGACTACTATTACACACTACACTGGATACTATTACATTGGAGACTATTAAACACTACACTGGAGACTATTACACACTACACTGGAGACTATCACACACTATAGCCAAACAAAGTTATGTCAAAGTGTTTCAAGCAAGTGAAAGTTACGAAAATTGTGTCAACTGTTAGGACAAAGGATAACAGCTAAATGAAATCCAACTGATGCCATCGCGTGAAGAAGCACACCATGTATTTGTATCTGTATTTATTAAGGATCCCCATTAGCTGTTGCCAAGGCAGCAGCGACTCTTCCTGGGGTTTATTATGGATCCCCATTAGTTCCTGCCGAGGCAGTAGCTACTCTTCCTGGAGTCCAGCAACATTAAGGCAGTTATATACAATTTAAAATATTACATGACATTACATTTCATAACACTTTTCACAACACATTAAGTGTGTGCCCTCAGGTCATTACTATAGTACCACATATCTACAATACAACAGCCATGTGTACGTGTGTGTAGAGTGCGTCTTATCGTGTGTATGTGTAAGTGTCTGTCTGTTCCTGTGTGTGTCTCTTCACAGTCCCCGCTGTTCATAAGGTGTATTTTCATCTGATCTTTAAATGTGATTCTACTGCTTGCATCAGTTACCTGATGTGGAATAGAGTTCCATGTATTCATGCCTCTACAGTATGTAGTACTGTGCGCCTCTCATAGTCTGCTCTGGACTTTGGGATTGTGAAGAGACCTCTGGTGGCATGTCTTGTGAGTTATGCATGGGTGTCTGAGCTGTGTGCTAATAGCTTAAACAGACTGCTCGGTGCATTCAGCATGTCAATACTTCTTACAAAAACAAGTAGTGATGAAGTCAATCTCTCCTCTACTTTGAGCCATGAGAGACTGACATGCATATTAATAATGTTAGTTCTCCGTGTACATTTAAAGGCCAGCTGTGCTGCCCTGTTCTGAGCCAATTGTAATTTTCCTAAGTACCTCTTTGTTGCACAGGCTTTACTCAGAGCCAGTGGCAGAGTGTCAGGTCATTAGTAAAGATTGAAACAGCTGCCCTGGGGAATTCCTGATTCTACCTGGATTATGTTGGAGAGGCTTCCATTAAAGAACAACCCCTGTGTTCGGTTAGACAGGTAACTCTTGATCCACAATAGAGCAAGGGGTGAAAAGCCATAACACATACGTTCCAGCAGCAGACTATGATCGATAATGTTAAAAGCTGCACTGAAGTCTAACAAAACAGCTCCCACAATCTTTTTATCATCAATTTCTCTCAGCCAATCATCAGTCATTTGTGTAAGTGCCGTGCATGTTGAATGTCCTTCCCTATAAGCGTGCTGAAAGTCTGTTTTTCATTTGTTTACTGTAAAATAGCATTGCATCTGGTCAAACACTAGTTTTTCCAGAAGTTTATTAAGGGTTGGTAACAGGCTGATTGGTCGACTATTTGCGCCAGTAAAGGAGGCTTTACTATTCTTGGGTAGCAGAATTACTTTTGCTTCCCTCCAGGTCTGAGGGCACACACTTTCTTGTAGGCTTAGATTGAAGATATGGCAAATAGGAGCGGCAATATCGTCCGCTATTATCCTCAGTAATTTTCAATTGAAGTTGTCAGACCCATGTGGCTTGTCATTGTTGATAGACAACAATTGTTTTTTCACCTCTTCCACACTCACTTGCTTGTCTTTCATAATTTGGTCAGTTATACTTGGATGCGTAGTGTCGGCATTTGTTGCTGGCATGTCATGCCTAAGTTTGCTAATCTTGCCAATTAAAAAATAATTTAAGTAGTTTGCTATATCAGTGGGTTTGGTGATGAATGAGCCATCTGATTCAATGAATGATGGAGCTGAGTTCGCATTTTTGCCCAAAATTTAATTTAAGGTGCTCCAAAGCTTTTTACTATGATTCTTTATATCATTTATCTTTTTTTCATAGTATAGTTTCTTCTTCTTTTTATTCAGTTTGGCACTTTGGTTTTCTTAGAAATGGCTACTATATTGTGATCACTACATCCGATGGATTTGGATACAGCTTTAAAGCAGATTTCTGCAACATTAGTAAAGATGTGATCAGTACATGTTTATGACTTAATTCCTGTGCTGTTTGTAACCACCCTGGTAGGTTGACTGATAACCTGAACCAGGTTGCAGGCACTGGTTACAGTTTGAAGCTTTTTCTTGAGTGAAAGCCAGTCAATATTTAAATCACCCAGAAAATATACCTCTCTATTGATATCACATACATTATCATGCATTTCACACATATTATCCAGATACTGACTGTTAGCACTTGGTAGTCTATAGCAGCTTCCCGCAAGAAAGAGCTTTAGGTGAGACAGGTGAACCTGTAGCCATATTAATTCAATAGTATTTAACATGATATTCTCTGTAATCTTTACAGGAATGTGGCTCTGTATATAGGCCGCAACACTGCCCCCATTGGCATTTCTGTCTTTTCTGTAGATGTTATAACCATTTATTGCTAACACTGTATCATCAAAGGTACTATCTAAGTGAGTTTCAGAGATTGATTTCATGAAATTTGTTTCTTAGGCTACATATATTAATGTGGTCTACTTTCAGCACTTTTTTGTGATGCTTGATTGTTTATATTGCTTAACTGGGAAGCTTATCAGAAGTAGATATTACAATATTATTTATGCTTGAGCTGAAAGTGCAGGGTGAGCTGCACACAGTGGACTTCCTACTAGGGCACACCGCCTTAGTGCTAACGGTATGACTCTGGTTCAGAGGCACATCATTACTTTATACAATAGCTATAGGATCGACAGAGGCATAAATTAGGTTACTTACATTGTGACTGCCAACGCCCCTGGGATAATGTACATTTGCTGCAGCATTACTACAACCCAGAGACACAATGGCAGGGATTATCTGAGCTGGGCTTGGGTCATTGATAAGTTATTGCCTAAACGCAGCCTTGAAATGTCCAGGAGCCAAGATGATTTGGATGTATGCATGAGCTGACAATAATTGACTGTTTTTGACTGCTGTCATATCGACATTCACTGTAGCTGAGCCAAAATTGAGGACTGAAATGGTACAAAGTCAATTCAAGGACACGAAGCAGTAGTATCAAAGGTATTTTCGAATGAACATTTGAGACAGCATTAAATAATACAATTGTGTATTCAAAGGCATTCACTTGAACTGTTAAAATAGCATTGAATAATTCTCTGCCAGTTTATCGAACACATATTAAGTATTGGACTAAAGAATCATTGCGAATGGAAAATCTCAATTGAAATAGTTCCTTAGTCCCGAGCTAGCCTTACTCTGGGTCCGGAAAACTGTCCCTATTCTAAGGTTTAAACAGTATAGTAATAACAATAGTTTCCTACACAAAGCCAATACTGGTTCTGGGCTGCTCACCTGCAGTGGTTGCCACCGCACTCCCGATCGCAGTATTCACTGTCCCACTCGTGGTTCTGTCTCCCTCCAGGATTAGGGGCCCCCGGGGACTGGGAACCCACACTTTTCTGGTACTCTGACTGTAGGTGGGTGAATCCCTATAGGAGAGAGAGAGAGCCAGGCCATGGCATTAGTTTAAGTTTCTGACAATTTACACTGGCCAAATGGAGAGGGGAGAATGAGAGAGAAAAGCAGGGGGAGGGGATTGAGAGTGAGAGAGAGAGAGAGAGAGATAGAGAGAGAGAGATAGAGAGAGAGATGAGAGAGAGAAGAGAGAGAGATATAGATAGCGAGAGATGAGAGAGAGATAGAGAGCGACAAGATAGAGAGAGAGACGAGATATGACATGATGATAAGATATGAGGATCATAGATCTATATCTTGCTCATCGCGCTACTCTTCTAGGATCCAGCTATATAATTACTGCTATCTCATACTCTTCTCTGCTCTCTCTTCCATCTGAGCTCTAATATAGATAGCATGGAGAGAGAGAGGAGAGAGAGACATGACAATAATATTTTTCCTTGAGCTGATAGTGCAGGGTGAGCTGCACACAGTGGACTTCCTACTAGGGCACACTGCCTCAGTGCTAACGGTATGACTCTGGTTCATAGGCACATTATTACTGTATACAATAGCTGTAGGATCGACAGAGGCATTCAGGGGAGTTAAACATTGCTTTGGCAATGTTAACATACATTTCCCATGCCAATAAAGCCCTTAAATTGAATTGAATTGAATTGAAATTGAATTGAATTGAAATGGAATTTAACTGAGAGAGAGAGAGAGATTTCAGCCGCAAATTAATAAAACATAGGGGCCATGGTGTTAGCATTGCTGCATTTGGTTGATGTGTTGTTCCAACCTGGTCTCAGAACAAAACGTATTCAATATTACTAAAATCTGTGCCACTCCATTTAGTTTTATATGTAACTTTACGTTAGGTTGGATTACTAATGTAATAGCGGACGTACAATATAATATGACTTGCAGCATGTACAGTGCATTCGGAAAGTATTCAGACCCCTTGACTTTTCCACATTTTGTTACGTTATAGCCTTATTCTAAAATTGATTAAATCGTTTTTTTTCTCCTCATCAATCTACACATAATACCCCATAATGACAAACCAAAAACAGGTTTTTAGACATTTATGCAAATTTCAAAAAAAATAAAAACGGAAATATCACATTTACATAAGTATTCAGACCCTTTACTCAGTACTTTGTTGAACCACCTTTGGCAGCGATTACAGCCTCGAGTCTTCTTGGGTATGACACTACAAGTTTGGCACACCGGTATTTGGGAAGTTTCTCCCATTCTTCTCTGCAGATCCTCTCAAGCTCTGTCAGGTTGGATGGGGAGCGTCGCTGCACAGCTATTTTTGCTAAGGTTGCGAAGGTTACAGAGAACCAAACGGTTATAAGTTGTTTGGCCATACCATTGAATTAGGAATTCGAATTAGGAATTCGAATTGGGAATTAGGAATGGGTAATTTAATAGGATCTCTATGGTCCATACTCTCTCTCGACACTAGCATACTAAAAAAGCAAGCATGTCACTATTCCTTCATATAATTTACTTATGTGATATATGCTGGTGATATCGGCACTCCCAGAGTCACACTAACCTGCTGGCCAGGAGGAGGTGAGTGAAGGGAGCCCTGGAGTCCCATCTGGTGACCGTGCTGCATGCGGATTGGCTGGTTGAGGAGGGAGTTCTGGTGCAGGGAGAGCTGTTGGTGCAATGGCGGGCTGATCTGGAAGGAGGAGGGGGGAGAGGCACTAATGCTGGGCAGCATCTGAGACTGGCTGAGGGTCCGGGAGAGGGCGTGACGCGGCGCCCCCGCGTAGCTCTGCAGGTCCGACAGGGGGAAGCCCCCCGGCCCCAGACTGTAGGGGGAGGAGGGCTGGGGTGGGACACTGTACAGTGGTGGATTGGGGGGCATCATGTGCGAGGAAGGCTGGCTCGTATGGACACTTTTCGTCTCCACAGGGTCATTGTAGGTCTGAGGACAGAGGGGAAGACAAGAGGGACAAAAAGGACAGTTCAAATAGGTATTACCCAATATTTTACCCAATATATTACCCAATACATTACCCAATACATTACCCAATACATTACCCAATACATTACCCAATACATTACCCAATATATTACCCAATACATTACCCAATACATTACCCAATACATTACCCAATACATTACCCAATACATTACCCAATACATTACCCAATATATTACACAATATATTACACAATATATTACACAACTCATTTATATTGGTGAGATACAGGTAAAGAATGGTAAAGAATGGTGAGAGAGGGGTGGGAGGGAAGTGTGTGTGTGGGGGGGATGCTATCTCCCTTCCAAGCACTGAACAACCATAACTGAAGACAGTACTATTTTATACTATACTATACTACTCAGCCTATTCTATGAACAACAGGAGAGTATTATTTGTGGAGATATAGAAATGTGAAATGTCCCCTTTAAAGGGACAGGTAGTAACAAGGTAAGGAAACCAATCATTTGTCATTTGGGTTAACTATCCCATTATGTCTCCCTTGGTGGGTTGAAAAGCACAAAACACCACTTTGACTTTCTGAATGAATGAACCTCATTAACTTGGGGCTTTTAAACGAGACATTTACTGTAGTCATCAAGCTCCATTTGTGTGTGTGTTTTTTCTCCCAACATAGATTATCAGTGTGCGTCACAAACAAAGTGGCAACAGGTGCACGCCGAACGCACCGGGCACGTGACTCGTCCAAAATGTCACTCTGCCGATTTCCAATTACCTTCAATTCCTCTCTCCTTGATTCCGACTTCTCTTCAGCAATTTAAACACACAATTTAAAGAGGACTCCCTTTGAATGGCTACATATACTATGTGTCTTGTTGTGAGTGGTGGTGAATGAACGGTAGATTTGCAGTTATTTCTGTCTGTTTTAATTTCTTTTAAATGCCTGCCAATCTGCACACACATCAATCAAGCCTCTGAATACGAGATGTGTCAGAAAGCAATATTTAATTACGCAAACGAGCGGTGTGAATGGGCTTTATTAAAGGAATAAAAACTGCACTGGTAACGAGAGTGGTTGATGAATAAACTGTTCATGCCTTAATCAAGGCACTTGTTTTGGGCTTGTAAGCCTTGGAGGAAGTGGGAGGCCATGGGGACCGGTGGGAGGGTGTTTAACATGGTAATGCAATTTTGGTTTATGTGATGGGAAAACAATGGAGTGAAGACATGGAAATTGAGAAAATAGGTGCTTGGCACTAAGACTGGAACAGGAAAATTTTTTGTAGAATCTATTATGATTTAATCCTACTGTTATTAGACATCTAATCCGGTTCTGAATTAGTATTTTAGGATTCATAGTTAGAGTGTAATTTTATGAGCTTGAACGTTGAGAAATCACGGACATTAATTGATTATCTTGTCTGAAGTCTAAATATAAGTATATATGGTTACACCCTCACACACACGCCCTCACACACGCCCTCACACGCCCTCACACACACGCCCTCACAATCATGCCCTCACACACGCCCTCACACACACGCCCTCACAAACACGCCCTCACACACATGCCCTCACACACACGCCCTCACACACATACCCTCACACACACGCCCTCACACCACGCCTTCACAAACATGCCCTCACACACGCCCTCACACACGCCCTCACACACACACTCTCATACACACGCCCTCACACACATGCCCTCACACACATGCCCTCACACACACTCCCTCACACACACGCCCTCACACACACGCCCTCACACACGCCATCACACACACGCCCTCACACACGCCATCACACACACGCCCTCACACACATGCCCTCACACACACGCCCTCACACACACACCCTCACACACATGCCCTCACACACATGCCCTCACACACATGCCCTCACACACACGCCCTCACACACACACCCTCACACACATGCCCTCACACACACACCCTCACACACACGCCCTCACACACATGAACACATACAGGCGCACACACTCTAACACGCACACAAACATAAGTAAGAACACACATAGGCATATACACCCCCTCTCTAATGCACACACACACGTGTGTGTGTGTGTGTGTGTGTGTTTGTGTTCTCTTCAGAGCACACATACCCCTTCTTCTCCAGCTGTGCCACACGGAGCCCTTCCCCCAGGACAAGGCCACACGGAGCTCTTCCCCCAGGACGAGAGAAGAATTCTCCATCCAATTTATTATCCCTTATATCACCACTGACCCATGTATATCAGAGACGTGACCCCCCCCCCCCCCCCCCCCCCCGCTGTTACCTTGGTAACCAGAGTGGCTCGGTACGCTGCCAAGGCTTTCAGGTACTCCTTCTTCGCCGCCTCTGTTTTCCTCTTGTAGCCCTGCGAGATAGAGACAAACAGCAACAAAGCGGTGGTCAGTGATAAGGCGCTAAGCTAGGCTAAGCATTATAAATTACATTTTAGTCATTTAGCAGACACGCTTTTTTAGGCTGGGTTAACCACATTAAAAAAATACTACAGTATATACTATGGTATAAAGACTATAGTATTCACTCTAGTGTTTTTGTGGACATTACTGTAGTGTTTACTACAGTTGTTTATTTTCTGGATAATACTGTAGCATTTACTATAGTATTCTACAAAATACTACAACATTTTATAGTAAGTACTATTTGTAAGTTGCTCAAATGTAAATGTACTACGCATGATTAAGGGATACTACAGTGTGTAGTATGGTATTCTACAGTATACTACAGTTTAATATAGAATTCTATAGTAAGCACTGTAGTATTGTATAGTAAAATGTAGTATTTTTTTTTATGTGGGTAGACTAAAATCCCTCCGTTTAAATGTTGTAGCCCTGAGACAAACAGAAACAAAGCAGTGGTCAGTATTTTACGTTTTTACGTTTTCGTCATTTAGAAGATGCTATATTTTAGGCCTAGACATTTTACATACATTTAAAAAAAATGTTTTTCTAATTATAGGGCTAAAAGCCCTGGCGTCCAGTTCAGGAGGGTGTTACAGAACTTTCAGATAGAAATGTATAGTGTAGAACAGAAATGATTGTCTGTCAGGTTGAATAGAGGATTTATTCTGCAACATTCTCAACGTTTCACCACACTGAATACAACTCTGGTCCTTCCCAATCTAGACGACACAATATTTGACTCAATGGTGCATATAGTATCAATACCATGTGAACAACTGCAAAAAAGAAAACATACACATATTAGCATCCCATTCAGTGTTATTGAAAATGTCTGGAGAGGACGTGCTGTTGAGGAAGACAGGGAGGTGGAGAGGGATAACAGGGGGAGACGTGGCGTTTAGAGAGAGAGAGGGGTGTGATGAAATAAAGCTAGAGAGCGAGAACACCATTATGTTAAAAAACCCTATTTGCCACTCTGCATTTTGCTTCACCGTTTTTGCCTCCTTTTGAAGCAACACACCGCTAAATCAGAGTTGATGTCCCATCAAAGCATCGAGACGAGACAAAAAATTCCAAACAGTCCGCCGAACGAACCTCAAATGATGCGTTCAGAAGGGGAATTCAAGTTAATGTAATAGGGTGTCAGTCATGTGCGGTTGCCAGCGTTTGCTGAGGCTGAGACTGAGGCCCCCGTTCCCTTTACGATGGTATGAAAACAAGTGTGAAGTCCATCCTTAAATTGATTTTAAAAAATACCTTATTGCGTCCCAAATGGCACCCTATTCATTACACAGTAGGGAATAAGTTGGCATTTGGGACGCACACTTCCGCTCTTGGATTCGCTAGGGAGTCCTTCTACAAAACAGACTGCATGAGTAGATAAGAGGATAATTAAAGTTCTCTTCGTAGTGTTCTTATAGACAGGTCATTCTCTGAAAGAGGTGGGCCAGAATTACCATTAGGCATTCATGCGTTGCAAATGCACACAGAGAAGCTAGCAACGCACACAGAGAAGCTAGCAACGCACACAGAGAAGCTAGCAACGCACACAGAGAAGCTAGCAACGCACACAGAGAAGCTAGCAACGCATACAGAGAAGCTAGCAACGCACACATGGGCACGCTCACATGTACACACTGGAAGACACAGACACACACGGTGCATGAAACATCCACGTAAACACGCACACACACACACACACACCACACATGCACACTTGCACTGCAGCCTTCTATAGGGGGTGTAAAAATAAGCTCTTGCCCCAAGAACTGATGTTTATCCTCTCTCCCTCTAATGGCATGAAAGTCAATATAGAGCGAGTGATGGGAGGAGGAGGGGAGTGACCGTATATGGTGTTGTGTCATCCATGTCTGCTTTGTTTCCACATTACATATTCATATCAAAATCTGTTAATATATACAAAAACATCTGGAAATATATCTTAATCCTAGAACAAAAAAATAGAACAGACTGTGAGGATATTTCCGGGTTGGAAGTTGCGACCTTAACTCCTCAGCCCTTAAATATTGATAGAGCCGGCACTGCCTATTTAATGAACCCCCAAGTACTCCCAGCAGCTTTAATTTCAAATTAATTTAACACAGCTAATGATTCGTCCGACGACGGATACTTTTAAATAAATTACCATGCCTAAGGATTCTCTAATTATTCCAAAGTGAGTGGATTCATTAGCGATTGAAGCCGTCAGAGGCTGCAGGTCGGGATGAATTAGAAATAACAAAGCTTCAAGAGAGCATATGCCACGGTCATAATCCTGACATGGGGGGTGTCCCGCAAGAATTAGCCGGTAATTGTACCTTAATGAAATCTTCTTGTTTGATAACCAGTTAATTATAGGAGACAATAACTCCTGAACCCTCACTGACACCAACTGAGTGGGATAGACAGAGAAGGGATAGACAGAGGGAGAGATAGGGAGAGGATGGGGGGAGGAGGGAGAAGATAGGGAGAGGATGGGGGAGGAGGGAGAGATAGGGAGAGGATGGGGGGAGGAGGGAGGAGATAGGGAGAGGATGGGGGAGGAGGGAGAGATAGGGAGAGGATGGGGGAGGAGGGAGAGATAGGGAGAGGATGGGGGAGGAGGGAGAGATAGGGAGAGGATGGGGGGATGAGGGGAGAGATAGGGAGAGGATGGGGGGAGGAGGGAGAGATAGGGAGAGGATGGGGGGAGGAGGGAGAGGATAGGGAGAGGATGGGGGAGGAGGGAGAGATAGGGAGAGGATGGGGAGGAGGGAGAGATAGGGAGAGGATGGGGAGGAGGGAGGATAGGGAGAGGATGGGGGGATGAGGGAGAGATAGGGAGAGGATGGGGGGAGGAGGGAGAGATAGGGAGAGGATGGGGGAGGAGGGAGAGATAGGGAGAGGATGTGGGAGGAGGGAGAGATAGGGAGAGGATGGGGGGAGGAGGGATAGATAGGGAGAGGATGGGGGGAGGAGGGAGAGATAGGGAGAGGATGGGGGGGAGGAGGGAGAGATAGGGAGAGGATGGGGGGAGGAGGGATAGATAGGGAGGAGGATGGGGGGAGGAGGAAGATATAGGGAGAGGATGGGGGAGGAGGGAGAGATAGGGAGAGATAGGGAGAGGATGGGGGAGGAGGGAGAGATAGGGAGAGATAGGGAGAGGATGGGGGAGGAGGAAGATATAGGGAGAGGATGGGGGAGGAGGGAGATATAGGGAGAGATAGGGAGAGGATGGGGGAGGAGGGAGAGATAGGGAGAGGATGGGGGGAGGAGGGAGAGATAGGGAGAGATAGGGAGAGGATGGGGGAGGAGGGAGAGATAGGGAGAGGATGGGAGGAGGGAGAGATAGGGAGAGGATGGGGGGAGGAGGAAGAGATAGGGAGAGATAGGGAGAGGATGGGGGAGGCGGGAGAGATAGGGAGAGGATGGGGGAGGAGGGAGAGATAGGGAGAGATAGGGAGAGGATGGGGGGAGGAGGGAGAGATAGGGAGAGATAGGGAGAGGATGGGGGAGGATGGAGAGATAGGGAGAGGATGGGGAAGGAGGGAGAGATAGGGAGAGGATGGGGGAGGAGGGAGAGATAGGGAGAGGATGGGGAGGATGGAGAGATAGGGAGAGGATGGGGGAGGAGGGAGAGATAGGGAGAGATAGGGAGAGGATGGGGGAGGAGGGAGAGATAGGGAGAGGATGGGGGAGGAGGGAGAGATAGGGAGAGGATGGGGGAGGAGGGAAAAAGAGAGGGTGGGGGGATTGAAGGAGGTAGAGCGATTAAGAAATAGTTAGAAAGAAAGAGAGACAGGGAGAAAAAGTGAGAGATCCAGAAAAGGGAGTAAGATATAGAGAGAGGGTTTGGTTCAAAAGCTTGTCGTTTGCCTTAACGACAGTGTTTCCCTCTCTCCCCCCCTCTCTCTCTCTCTCTCTCTCTCTCTCTCTCTCTCTCTCTCTCTCTCTCTCTCTCTCTCTCCCTCTCTCTCTCTCTCTCTCTTCTGACCTTTCACGGAAGCACATCTACAACACAACAGACTCAATTAAATAAAGCTAAGCACTTCTTTTCCCTTTATAACTGTTTTTCCTTTATAGCCGTAAAACTGGGGATTGATCTGAATCTGAACAACAAAAACAAGAACTCTTTCTTTTTCTTTTGGGAGGGGGCTTCGAACACATAGTCACCTTGAGGAATAACAAAGGCAAATTCAACGATTGATCTTAGACCACAAAGCAGAGACCCCAGGGGATGAAATACTCTATATGAGAAAAGAAAGTTTCAGATGAGGCAACGAACATAAAATACATTAAAAAAAGATGCCTCTAATACACTCAAGGACAGCTTGGCAAACAATAAGTCATGCAGTACAAAATAACTAAACGTGAACTGAGCTCACAGAATAACATAGTTTATGATGTTGATAAATCTGATACTTAATAAGATACAGTGCTGCTATATTTTCATTTCAATTGGGAATTGCTTGTTTTCTAACATAGATCATTGGAAACAGAGGGCATTCCTTTGTTAAAACAAATATGTCTGCGGCAAGGGAATGTGTTTACGTTCTAGTTATACTGGCCCCAGAGTGTCTGTGACGTTAAAGTACACCTCATCGATACTGTAGAACTGACATGACAGTCAAATACTAGAAGAAACAGCACTCATCAGTTTGAGAGGGGAGATTTTTTTGTATTATTCAGGAAAGACTGAAAATGTCTGTATAGAAATAGGCAGTCTATAGCTCCATTTCAAAGGCCCTTCATATATGGTGGCCAATTTGATTTGATATATTGTTGCTGATGAAAAAGTTGATTTTGCCGTTGTGAGCTAAGGAATGTGATTTAACACATGAGAGCACAACCAAATTGAGTACAATTAAGTGTAGAACAACCTATCAAATTATTATTTCAATGGAGGAGTTTCCCTTTTTTATTTTTTATTTTTTATAATCCTCCTGTGAAGGACAAACCCCATTCAATG